GAGATGGGGCGAAATCTGTTGTCATATTTTCAGAAAGTGTAGAAAATGCGCAAAAACTACCGTTCCAAAGCCTGAAATTACCTTTGGTCACTTTAGACATCCTGTCCCTGACCCTAGTACCTAAAATTAACCATTTTTAGAAAATGTAGGAAATTCACGTCAACATGTTCCRAAGCCTGAAATTACCTAATATTCACCATGGACATCCTACCCCTGATCCCAGTACCTAAACTTAACCATTAATCCTGATCCCTCATGTTAACCTGAGACCCACGAACCAAAGACCCCTGGTGGCGCAACCCRGAAAAGCCGCGGGCGKCAAGGACTGACGCGAGGGGGTCACCTGATGCGTCAAAATAAGACGCAGAGGGAACTTTGGAAAAGCGTCAATATGTGACGAGTCGGGAGTGAGAATGTGTAGGACTAACACAGTGTATCAGTGGTTTGAATGAAATGACTCTGAAATAAAGTGAAAGGACAATGACTGCAGTCTGAGTTCTACTATTGTTTTATTTTTAATGCTTTATTAAAACAACAAACACACTTAAGCTTTGATTTAGGTCAAATAGCTTGCTTTTAATAATAATTCACACAGCTTTTATTTTTATTGTGTGTAATACTGCGAGAATTTTCTCTAATCTATTTAAAATAAATCTTGTCTTTATCTGCACAGATCGTACAATTTAATTTGTAAGTTGCAATTATGTTTTCCCTCGTTTCACTGAGTTTCACAAGCATAATGTTTAAAATATATWTTTTTATTTAGTTTTGTCATTTAATAGGTACGCTATATCCTAAACAATTAAAATGGTAAACAGTAAATTTTCTCTAATTGGTTTTGCTCTAGCTTGATCTTTTCTAGTAAATATTAAACAGCTTATTTTAATTTTTAAACTATGTCAATGTCTAGACTTTGAGGTGTTTAATTTTAGCTGGAAGAGATTTTAATAATTTCAATTAATTTAATTTTTAATTGGTAGTTATAAGAACATACAAAGTGTCTCTGAGAATTTTCCCATTTAGAAATAAAGTCATTGTATCGACTTAGGATATTATCATGTACCATAGAAATACTTGTTTTTACTAAATGTGTGCCTTTCAGATTCACTCAACAAGGCTAACTAGATAACCCTTTTTAACCAACCTGATTTTGTAAAGAAAGAAACACCACTCTGCTGCAATAGTTACTCAAGACACATCCTCTTTTACTCCAGCTTCTCCTTAAATTAGAATAATCACTCAATTATCTAATTCCAATAATTATCAGTCTAGAGCGCATGCCCTGTCCTGCTTTCGCTCTCTTACATTTTACAAGTGTGTGCTATAGACAAGTAGTAGCAGGTTGTGTAAATCAGATGCTACTTGTATGATGCGAAAACAAACTGAAACATTCTTGTTTCTGATTAAAAATGCAGGAAATGTAAGAAATGTGTCAGTTCTGAAAACTTTTGGACTGTATGTCTGCAGGTCTAACAATACCAATCCTGACTGCAGTGTCCAAACGCTGTTTTGTTTTTCTCAGATAAATTCTGCTGCTGACCAGCAATATTATCAGTACCAGGGGATCTTAAGAGTGTTTGAACTAAATGAAATTGGAACTTCTAAAATGACTATTTAATTTAGTGCAAAGTCAGAAAAATTATCCACTGCTGCCGTGCACCACCAATTACCCTAAGAGCTAAACATGTCTAATTATGTGATTCCATTAACTTAAATGAAAACTACTCAGACAAATGTGGCTCCAATTACTTTTCCATGCTTTTAAAACAGAACAGATTGTATTTGTACATAAAAGTAAATGTCATTTGTCTCCAAATATCATCTAGTAACCCAGTATTCAAATGATGAAAAGGCTAATACTAGAATATCTTGTCCCATTTTATTAGATAATCACTGTTTGACACTACACACCATTTAAAATCAATTATCTGTGAAATGAGGGGACATTGATCCTTTTTTCTTGTTTTCTTTTGTTCCATGCCCACAGAGCTGGAAAATGTCAACATTGTATGATGCAGTTTATTTAAATTTGGGTTTTAATAAAACAAGGTTATTTGGAAGATTATCAGTTTTTTTTTATTACAAACACAAACTATTCCAAAACACCCAAAGTCAGCTGTTTATTGCCTGAACAAATTTGTTTGCTTAGCAAATAATCCAAAACCTTGAGGTATACTATATGTTTGTTTATGAACTCCAAAACTCATTGCCATGGTACAATATTTTACCAAGGTAGTATTTGGTGCAAACATCCCTGGTCATAATAACAGGTAACTTAAACATCAACTTTGAGCCACATTWACATTTCTTCAACAGCAAAAAAAGAAAAAAAATATGCTGCTTTTTTTTATTAGAGACCACTCAAAACCATTAGAAATGACAGTGTGTAATGCATGGTCAGTTAAAAACACAATGCTGTATCATCAAATACATAATTTATTAATGAGTCAGCTGTGTGTGTAACACATAGTTTAATACAAAAAGCGCAATCCCAATAAACATATTTCTAAACAATCTCTTTCTGATGTGCAACATTTTGTCTCTTTAACTTCCACATACCCACTAGGTTATAAGAACTTGATAAATTTCTATCGATCTAGTCAGTGCAAGCATTCAGTTGAGGTTGAAGCTTTTACACTGTGCTAAATGTACCTAATGCCTATGTTTTCTTGCCAGATTTACCATTTATTACCTCCGTTCTTCCTTCTGCTTCTTTCATTTATTGTTTTTCTCTTTCATTTCTTCTCCAGAATGAACCAAAACCACCTAAAGGAGTCATCAGCTGTGGGCAAATGGTCTGAAACTGAGAAAAGCTTTGACAGTGATGTCCAATCAGAGGCTGCTAAACCAATAAGGAAGTCAATAAAGGAAGAGTTTATTGGATATTGAGTTCCTGTCTACAGTTTACATTCACCCTCTTTTAATCTGTGGCCCAAACGTATAGACTTATTTAGATAAAAGCTGGAACATTTTAGTTTTTTCTTGAATATAATCATACTGAGGTTGGCTGATGTCACCACTCGCCTCCATCCCTTTCAGCTCCTCCGGGGGCTGAGCTGACTGGAAGGGGAGCATGGGCAGAAGGGTGGCTGACCCAACCTATCCAGTGCCAGCACTGGGAGTTCCACTGGCAGGGGGGCGATGGGGCCCGCTCTGCAGCATTGGGGTGCAGACATCTCCCAGACTGCAAACTCTTTCCACCTTCAAACGGCATGGCAGCCAACGGTCCAACACGCGTCAGCAACACGCCATGGATACAGACGAAACAATGACAGCAGAGACCAGAGGAGTTATCAGAAGTGACAGCAACAACCTGCCAGAGTCCAAAGAGACATCTCAGAACGAGATCAACAGCCTGACACAGGACGACATGGGGTCGCAAGGGTCTGGTAGTGGAGTTTATTGTCAAATCAAAACCATCCAAGCAAACCCCAAGGACACAAGAGATAAAAGAACAGCTCGGTATACAAATGGCAGTGTGGTAGCCTCTGATTTGGTAGGAGGGGTTTGCAGTGAGGCCACAGAAAGCAAGGAGCCGACCCAAGAGAAAAGAAGGGTCCAGTCTCTGCGAGGGGAAAATCATCGCTCTGTATTAAAGACGGGGAGTGTTGGTACCACGGTACACGCCACGCCACCTCGACCCTGTCGTGTGATGACAARTTCTCCACATCGCCTTTGTGCAACATGTGGGAGGAGACGATCACAGGTAACACAGTGCACAGGTGCATGTCGCAGGAGGGCAGTCAATCAAATCACAGCAAGTCAGACTTTACCTAATCCGCCACGGAAAACATCTGCTGCTCCCGCCCAGTCAAGGAAAGCCTCTGCTGTTCTGAACTCCCAGTCCTGCATCAAAAGCACCGACAGAGGCACGCCACAGCAGCACACATCAGTAAAAACTGCTCAAATGCCACAGTTGTCACACACTATGCCAAAAACAAACACAACACACTCTCAGAACAAATCAAAAGATACAAAGCAGCAAACAAGGCCACGTTCAGCAGAATTTCCCTATTTCAGGGACTCAGCCACGCAAACAACAGAAACACATGCAGACAACACAGCCAGCACAGATACACATTACAAACAAAACACAGAGACAGTCAAACATGTACCCGACAAACACGCTCACGATCAGGCTCAAGTCCAGAAAACTGACGAGCAAGCTCATCAACATACATCCATCCACATCATTTCCAGGCCCCAAACTCCTTCTTGTCACTGTGACTCCAAGTCCAGCAGCATCCCATCTGTTCCACCCAAAAATACACCTAAAGCAACTCATTCTAAGCCGGCCACACCTACAGCAAACCAAASCAAAAACGAGGAGACCACAAATTCATCCAAACAATCCTCAGAACAGGTCAACGTTAAGGACTGCAYGAAACAGAAGAGCAAACCATTTGACGACCATACTCTGCCTTGTAAGACTCATTCAAAAGCACAATGTAACGGAGCTCCGGGAGGACTTTTAGATGGGCACGTGGTGAACATGCCATGTGGGCTGGAGAGTCAGCTACAGAGTGTGGAGGAGAACCTCCTGTCCAATCAGGAGAAGATCAAGGTGCTTCTCAATGTTATTCAAGACCTGGAGAAGAGCAAGGCTTTCAGCGAAGGGTGAGATAAGGGGAC